CGTATCAATCAGGGTAAAAAGATAAAACTGGTAATCAAAGTATTTCTTTAGCAGTTTATTTGTGGGCGGAGTTATAATTGTTTGATTTATTTAATTCACCATTACTTTGTTCAAAATAAAACTATTTAGTTATGCTTTGAATTAACATTGATTATATATATGATTAAAGAATCAGTAATTAAATTAAAAGCAAAGTAAGTCTGTCAAATTAGCAACGACTACATTTAAGTTACCGTTTTTTATATAACTACAACTTGATTCTGATTTTGTGCGAATGCTTTTCTGAATCATCCGTCCCCTAGGGGTTAATGCTAGAAGATATTTCTTATTTTGGCAATTCACTTTGTCTTTAATTGGTTTAGAAGCTGGAATTTTCATGCATAGATACTTTCTTAAGCTGGAATTTTCATGCATATATACCTTCTTTGGAAAACAATTTTTACTGGTAGTGACAAAGAAATTAAATTGTCGACATTTGGTTAATCTTCGTTACCAATTTTTAAAATTCATAAGGCTCGCGGGAACTCTGATCTCGTGGGGAACAGGCCTGCAAACTACTACGCATTTTATAAAATATTATGGCAGACATTTAAAAACCAAAGCTTTCAGAATTTTTGGTAATTTTGGAACAACTTTAAAAGCCTCTCTACGAAAGAGCTGGAACGAAGTGGCTTTGCATATAAACTTTTATATCATTTACGTATAGTGGTGTGGAAAATAAGTTCAAATAAATAAAAAGTACAAAAGAGTAGAAAGTTGGGAGTATTGGGTGAAGCGTCTAAAATATCGGCAAAATTTCCAAAAATTATGTAAACGTTACTGAGTAATTGTCTACCACTCTATAAATATTTTATAAAAAGCATAGTAGTTGACAGCCCTGTAAACAGAGATGCCAACTTGCTCCGGACCGAAAATATATATTTTAAAGTGGTAGTTCATCAATTGTGAGTCTTGATTTAACAAATTCAATTTAGTAGATTTTTATCCACCACTATTTCTAAATAATTCGTAGGCTTATATAATTTACCACTTCTTGGTACAATGTCATGCTATACCCTTCAAAAAGCAAGCAAAAATAGTCAAATATTTGCAAAATTTACCTGGTAGTTATTTACCGTTTCCTTAATTATTTCGGCATGTCCGGAGCAGTTGGCATCTCTGTGTAAATATTAAAAGAGTGAAATTTTTTCCCTAATATTAAACTAAAAATTCGATAATATTTTCAACTGAAACATTTGTCCGTATTTCTCAAATTTTCCGATTCCATCCCTGTATCAGTATAATTTTGTGAAGAATACGAAAGCGGAGATACGAATTTTTATTTTTAAATTCCACGAATGAAATTCCTTGAGAGAGTTAAAGAAAAAACAAAATTATTAAAAATCTAAGCAACCTGGAGAATAATAACTCACTAGTTTCTAATTTTGTTCCATAGATTTTGAACTGCCAACCCGGGAGTTCCCGCTCTCCACATTATTTAAAATGGTAGTTAAATAATCATTTAATAAATACTTTTAAAATTTCGCTATCACTTTAAAGCAATACTGCTTACTTTTCCAAATTTTCATGTATATCTTTTAATTATTTATATATTGTTGGGTACAAAATCTTTTTAAATGAAATATTAAAGCTGAATTTCTGCTATAATTTAAAATATTTGGAGAAAATCTCCGGCTTGAGGAGTTGGTAGGTTTGCAGATCGTAGGGTAGTCAAAAAAAAAGTAAAGAAAAAAAATGGATATACAAATTAATGGGTTGCTGCTTTTTTCAAAAAAAAATTATTTCTAAAATTCATGCTTTATTTTTTGGCTTATCCTTTTCCGGTACATCGATTGAAAATTTTACTCAAGCAGAAAGTTGGCAGGCCCGTTAAGACAACATATTCATAATCATAAGGTTCATCATAAGTCACAAGGCATCATGAAGTTAATAATAATGAAATAAAAGAAGACAGCGCATTTTAGGTGAAACGATATTCTTCGTTATTTAAAAAATATTGGTTGCTAAACGTTTAAAAGCCGTTAGTTATACGTTTTTTTGTGGTTTGCTTGTTGAATTAGTGTTGCCAGACTGATTACACTGAATCGGAAAGAGTTAATACGTATAATTAAAAAAGAATTTGTATTTCCTCACGTAACTCAAACAGGTACATATTAATATCTGCACGACTATGCTGTTAGTGATATGAAACAGTAAAATTTATCTAAGTAATTCATTTCGGTTAACAAAAGGAGTAAAATTTAGGAGTAAAGTAGCAGTTACTAAGATCAATTTGATTACCAAAACAGAAATGAAGAGGAATGATAATTTTTCTTTGCCATGCGTTAAAATTTGTAGATTCATCTCATCCCTATACCCTATGCCTCATAATGATCTCGTTAATTAAAAACTAAACTGTTGTAACTGGTATTATAAATATTTAACTACAATCCAGATTTAACAGGACGATAAAGACTTAATAGGACTATATCCTCTCAGATCGTTCGTTGTTGAAGAACTGGGCATCCGAGGCCTAAATGTCCCTTATATCCTCTCAGATCTACAATTTTTGAGGTTATCGCGGCTGTTAAATGAAAATAAAACTGGTAACAAAAATATAGATTTAACAGGACAGCCCACTTTCTTAGCTTTTTGTAAAAAATTATTCTAGTGGTAGCTAAGTTTTTATTTTAATGTATTATTTTTTTTATTCATTTAAACTTATTTTCTACATTACTATACATAATTGATTTGAAAGTTTACATGCAATGCCACATTCTTTTTGCTCCTTCACGGTCAGGCTTTCAAAAGTTGGAAAAATATCAAAATTCTGAAAGTTTTGATTTTTAAATATCTATGAAATATTTTGCACAAAGCGTAGTAGTTTGTAGGCATGGATTTAATCATCATTTTTAAGGAGTGGTAAGCTCTTTACGAAGGATATATCTCTAGTGTTAACAAATTTTATCAGGTTGGTTCTCCATAAAATATTTAAAGCATATATATTTATATGTTGATATGAAATCACACGATAGTGAAATTTTAAAAATTAAGAGGCAACCAACACTGGAAAAACAAATTGGTAATGAATTAAATTCCAAATCTTGTAGAATAAGGAAAATTACTCTTACTTTTTATAAGCGTCTACACTTAAAATGAAAAATACTACACATAAAATAACTTTGTCGTTATCATTCATTCGAAAATATTTGTTTACAACTCGGAGCAAGTTGGCATCTCTGAGTGGGCAAAAATAAGGAACCACTTTTATACGAACTCTATGTAAACAATCTTTCTCTTAGCAACAAATGTTTCGGAAGATGGCTCAACTTTCGGCTCAATTTGAAATACCATGTTTGAAACTTTTAGAAATGGTTTTATTCATGCGAAATTTGCATTGGACAGGAAGTTAAAAGCTTTTTCCGTTTTTAATACCACTATACATAGTTTCAAAAGCATTCTCACGTATTGTTATCGAATGATTTCAAAATTGCTTCCTACTGCCTGCTTACTTCAATGTCCAACCTAAAACAGTGCAAAAATTCCATGATGAATAGGATAGGGGCAGCTTCGCAGCCCAGGTGCCCATAAAAAACAAAATAGTAGGACTTGTACAAATGTTATTAATTTCCTCTCATTGCAGCCGAGTTTTGCATGGGTAGCATTTCTAAAAGCTTCAAACATGATCTTTCAAACTGTGCCAACAGTTTTTCAAAAAGAATGATTGTTAATTTACAGCTCATATTTTTATCTAACACCTGTATCTTGAGAAAAAGTCCGTAATGGATTAATTGTTACTTCGTGGATAAAGGGTTGAAACGAAAAGACGAAGAAAATTTAGCAGGTTGTTTGATAATAATCTGCCGATCGGACTGTGTAGGTGTCAGGGAGCTGGTCTTGTATCGGTAAGGTTCTGGATTCAAATCCAGGGCAAAGGTGTGAATGTTCTTTCATTCTCTGTACTATCTGTCCTTAGCGGGGGAGCAACGTTGGCCCACCTAATGTGGTGCCCCTGAAAAAGTGGTCTACCCTGTAAAATGCCTGATTTGACGGAATGTTGACACAGGTGGGCATTGGAAATAAATAAATCGAAAATGATGGTAATGTGCTTCTCTGAAGATCAACTTAAAATTACAAAAAATAACAGATATGTAAGTTTCCAAAATTTAACAAAAATGAAAAAATAAAAAAATAGAAAGTATATAGTGTTTGTTGAATAGTACTAAGAAGTTTTATTAATACAGAAATATAAAGGGAAAGCCACGGAAGCCAAAAAAAGAAATTTTTAATATTTACCTCATCATTGTAAATGGATTTTGTTCTTAACTGCATAAGCTGTTGAAACCTAAATAAAAATATATTTTATTTACACTCGAAAAAAATACATGAATTCCTAACAAAAAGTAGCATTTTTCAATAACACACTTTTATTATTTTGTTTCAATTAGCAGAAATTTTTCACAGTTGACTCCAATAGGTTTATTGGAAAACAATATATTGCACTCCGGCGCCTCCCCCCCCCTGACAGTGTCCTGATGGTCCTTAAAAAAATTTAAAGAAGATAGCAAAATAAAGAAATGTATTTTAATAAGTTCGTCAAGTCACGAAATCTAAGGCATAAAATTTTTAATTTTCGAGTGAAAGCTAATTAAAAGAAATTTTCAGCTTCTTTAGTAGAATATAAATACCAATATAAACATTTTCTATTCATTTCTGATCTGAAGTTAAAGTTTTTTTATGTCTTAATACTTATTTTTATGATTGCCAGTTATTGCTCTTAAATTGGCTTAATAATACTGCAATAATTTTTACGAGCATTTCAAACATAACACCCTTTTGTATTTACAATTTGTATATATCTTGTAAACTTAGATTAATTAGATATTTAGAATAATGTGTCAATTTTTTATATTTGACAGTAGTAACTTTTTTTTTAATCTTTCAATTACACTTGTAATTTACACATCTATAACCTATATATTTAAACACAATGAAATTTCAGAGATGTTAAACTTTGATATTTGACTGCGAATTCTTTGATAATGAAAATGTTGCAAATTTAAGTAAAAGACAATTGTATTTGCTTTTATAAGTAATTCTAGTTGAATTTGAATATATATTATTTTAACAAAAATTAAAATAAATATGTGGCACTAATTAATAAATCTGCATTTTTTTACTGTAGTATTGTTTATGTAGCAATAGAAAAGTGTCAAATCTATTCATTTCATAATAATCTTTGCTTTAACAATTGATTTCTGCTTAATTTGAATATGATTTAAACTAAAATAAAAATACACAAATGACAGTTAATGACACTATGACAATTGAAATGTGTCAAATCCATATGTCTGACAATGGTATTTTTAAAAAAAAAATTTTTTTTTTAATGATAAATACTTTTTAAGCGAAATGAAAATGCATGTTTAATATGATATATGATGACAAATCTTGGTATTTGGCTATAGACATTTTTCTATGATAATAGAAATGTGACATATCTATATTTGACAATAATATTTGTTTTCATAAATGATTCTTGTTAAATTTGTGTATATTTTTGAAACCGAAACAAAAATACATCATACATGATAAAGATGAATATTGATATTTGACAGAGAAAAAGTTTTTATAACAAAAGAAACGTGTCAAATAAATATGTTTCACATCATTGTGTGTTTTCATTTATAACAATGGGGAGCACTTTTTTTTTGTTCCCTCTTGCATGAGATTTTTTTAAAACAGATCTTAAATGTTTTCACGTCTCTGATTTCAAATCTGCAATCGGTTTTTTTCTCCAATTTACTATTTTTTTTAAATGATATTCTTTGTCTATTTATAAATTTAAAACTGTTATATTTAACAATGCGTCACACAAATGTTGCCGCAAATATCTAGGGTAGTTAGGGCACATCCTCAGATTTAAAATTGCATAGGAATCAAAATCTGGATACGTCGTCATACGCCGCTGAAGGCGCTTCCCTATTTTGAACTGCTTGCGTACTTGCTTCTAAAGAGGTCCTTCCCTAGCCAAGTACGATGAGATTTCCGAGCATGGGTTCCTATGCATTAATCCTGATTATATGCCTAATTCTCTTAGAAGTCTGTCGCAATAATTGTGTGACCCCCTTTTATAGATAATGTTTTCAAGCTTGTATATTTTGACAAACAAATAGACTAAAATGTTTTTTTTTTTTTTTAAATAAATCTATATCTAAGGAGCAACTAATTTCAGATTTGAAATCTTCCAACTGTCAACTTTTTGCGTTTTAGTTTTTATCATTTAGGACTCTATAAAATATTTTGCAACGAGCATAGTTGTTGGCTGGACTGTATATGCAACAAAAATTATGTTCTCTAGTATAATAGATGTTGGCAAAATTTTTTAATAAATTGTTGACTCAATTTTCAATAAAATACCACTTTACATATCTTGGGAAGCTAAAATGCTGGGTATGACAGTTTTGTATGCATACCAATCTGGTAACTTGCAAAGCAAAGCCATTAGATTTGTCAAGATAACTGCATTTTGCAAATACTTGAAATTTGTAAAGGTCAATTTTGTCTACTTTAATTTTTCTTGCGCAAAATGATTATGTTATTCATTATTTTAATTATTTCTTATTGTGAGAGCTATATGTGCTGACGTTTACCAGCTTTTATAAAAAGATTTTTCTCAAATTTGCTGTAGAAAATTTGAATTACTGGAAATTAATATTTTGAATCATTATTATTGCTGAAATGCGTTATAACATTACTTTCTTATCGAATTTCCGATGTGAAAGCATTAATTGAAATTACTTATGAAAGCATGGAAAAAGATTACAAAAAAAATAATTCTATATGTCTATCTAATGTATATTTTTGTTTCCCAAAAAGTGGTTTTGTGGGTGCTCTTTCCTCGATTAGTTTTTTTTAACTTTTTTTGGTGCATTTTTCGGGCTCTTTCTATTGCTCTTTTTCCCGCCTACCATCAAAAAGATATTTGTCAACAATCGAACTGAATGTAAAAATTATAAGAGGGATTTAATAATTACTTATGATGTGACATTTACGTGTGATATTATATAATGTGGCATTATATACTTATGATGTGACATTATATAATGTGACATTTACAATTTACATTTTACAGGAAATTTCTTTTCAAAACAGTATTCCTTGCGTTTTTTTTTTTTATTATTATTATTTTTTATAGGAGCCTTTTTTTTGCAGGCATAGCCACTTGGCAAAAGAATTTAATTTTGCTTTGAAAGATGATATTATTGTTATAAAAACACCATTTTCCTATTTCTAATGTAAGAGTCATCTTTCTCCATTTCTGTTCATTTTTGAAACACGAAATGTCGGCCATTTTGGTCGATTCTCCTAGTTCTTGTCTCATCTATATGGTGGGGAACATGGAACAGAGGGGAAGATTGCAGACCAATGCGAACCAAACTCCCTCTAATAGGCTTACAGAATAGAAGTAGGCGGGAACAAAGGCATTTGATAAGTGGGCGTTGAGCTCAAAGGCCAAAAGAAATGGCTCTCTATCGATTTGTTTTGTAGCTTTAAGATTTTTCTTCTAAGAAACGAAAAATATCTCTAACAATAGAGCAAATTTTAACAATATTAAACCAGTAATTAATTATCATAAAAGTTGTTTTGCCATGTTTTTTTTTATCATAAAATATCTAAATTAGGCTAACAATATTAAAAACTGATAAATAAAAACTTTAACAGCTTTTGCATTTTTGCATTTTTTATTTTAATTTTAATAAGGTGGATAGTTTCTTCTTTTAGCAGCCGCAAATGGCTGGTTTCTCCGAGAAAACTTTTTGAAAGACGAACGTGCCCTTAAAGAGCGACACGTGATTCTAATTATGTGGGTAAACAATATCTTAATAAATGATATTTGTAATATTGAAAACCACAGAAAGAATCAAGTTTTAAGGTGGAAGTTTGTCAAGTATTCGATCAAACATATAAAGATACAGATATCAAATAAAAATATACATATATACGTGATATACTTTGTATTTTATGTGAAAGAAAAAAATATTATAACTAAACTATATAAACAAACATATAATATTATAGCCACAAATATGCTATTTAATAAAAAATTAAACAGTAAGCTATACAATAAAAATTTTGGTGTATAGTTGCTACCATTTGTGGTGGTGAAGTAAACTAAATACATATTTTAAATACAAAACTGAAGTCATCAAGCTAATAATTATAAAAAATAGTCAAAATAACGATTGTTTGAGGAAATTGGTGCAAATATATTACTAAAAATGTGCTTTTATATGAAATGCCATAGGAAACCATAAATTGTTTCTAACGCGCATGAAAATATATAGTCAGTAAATAAACCAAAAAAAATTTAATATATAAATACATAAAATTATACCAGTGAAAAAGCAACTTAAAAATGTGGCTACATAGACTGTAAAAATTATAGTTTACCTCAACACCAGAAATGGTAACAACAATACACAAAATTTTTTATAGTGCATAGCACTTATTTAAGTAAATATTGCAATACTGGAAATTAACATAAAAATCTCCTTGATTTATTTTAGGCTGTTTTTAAATGTAATTATTATCTGTATAACTGATTCTCAAAACTATCAGTTGTCTATTATATATATTACATGCATGTCTCTTATATATATTACATATATGACCTTTATACATGTATTTTAAATTGTAAGCATATATTATATACATACATGTAATAAACATAAATTATATTTTATTTTTGTATTTTTTTTAGAATTTATGATTTAATTTGTTTGCGTTATTTATGTCTTTTTACAAATTCAATAAGCTGCAAACTGCAATATAATCATTACAAAATATTTTCTGAAAAGCAGTTGTAATAGTAATGTAAATGCAAATATCTAAAACTGTGATTGATTAAGATTTTAAAGTATGTAAAAATATAACAAATAAAATTGTATGCAAGAGCAATTTATAATTTCAACAAAATATTTATAAAAAAAAATTAATAATTGTATTCGATCAAAAAGTGTGATAGTAAGCAGTTATAGAAATGTGACTAATAATACACTATGTTAAAATCATATTTGTTATCAAAGTATATTGAATAAAACAACAAATTATAAATCAATAATCATTTAAGAGAGGTATCTACAGTAAATATGTTCAAACTGTAAAATTTTTTTGATATTTATTAAAAATGTTGCAAACATGGTTATAATAATTTATTTACGGTGATTTTCAATACCTAGTGGAAAAAGTAATGAAATGTTGACATAAATTACATATACATTGTGAATACAAAGTTTAAATTAGTTTGGATTTTGTAATGAAAATAATAAAATATTTTAATTTCCAAATCCACATGCATATAAACCGAGAAACTTCAAACTATATAGAAAGATTTAAATCATGTATAAATGAAGTTTGATTCTCCGTTTCATAAATAAGTTATTAATTTTGGAAGCTTGATAGAATAATTAGAACAATGTTCATAAATAATTTATTTTAAACATATTGTCAAAATAAGTTTCCTTGAGAATGGATATTTTAGACATTGTTCATAATAAATGTCCTTGACAATTATATACGTAATAAAGAAGAAAAAAACATAACTGACTTAATATTGAGTATTGAACGTGTCTAAAAATATTTGGATATTTACTTGAAACTTATAAAAAAAAAAGGAAAGAACAGAAATTGGAGAAAACAATACTGATAATAACTTCCCATCAAATACTGATAAAAAAATAACAACGTAATGAGAGCTAATTGTTTTTGCTAACAATAAAAGCAAATATTTTGAATAATCACATGTTTGAACTGAAACTTCGGTACCGACTCTATATCTTTAGGTTAAGTATACTGAATTGCACTTAAAAATAAATATAAAAATACATATTTTCAATCAAAAGTAATAAAATTAGGGATCAAAATAAAAGGATCTGAAGTAGTAATTGTATTGCATAGAAACAATTAGATATAGACTGCAGTGTGTTTCAAAAAACATAAAATATTTTCCTTTTCAAAACTGTTGATTTTTTAAATAATGGAAGAAAAACAGAAAAAAAAGCAGTAAGAAGTAATATACAGATAACATATAGAAAAATTAGAGTTTAAACAAGCAATTGTGAATTCTTTACAAAAACCAAGGATGCAAATTTAACGTTCCATATAAGATGTACCATATGAAATGAGATTATTTATGCTTATTAAACATAACAGTGACAACAAAATTTAATATAATGGTTAAAATGTGCATACAAATTAAATAATGTAATTATTTATGAAAACATATACTATTGTGAAATATAACACAATTCAGTTCCTTACTGTCGTTATATGTGTATTCAAATTAAATAACGTATTATTTATGAAAACGTATACTATTGTGAAATATATATTTTTTCGACACGTTTTATTTGGCAACTTCTCAGCCTTTTGACAAACAAATTCCTTCTAATACACTTTCCATGGACAACTTTTTTCTGTATTCTTCTCTGAAAATGTATACATTAAGAATTGACTTTTTTTGTAAATAAATGTACTGTATTTCATTCCTTTATTTACTGTAGTTCATTGTAAATATTTAAACTCAATCTTTACTATTTATTAGATTAAACATTAAATATTGTATATTATTTCTCTATCAATTAGGCAAGATCCTCTTCTTGATGATGAAAATGCTTTTTTTTTTATAAATGTTTGTAGTTTTTGCTTGTTCATTAAATAAAGCATTTTGATGTTATTGAAAGGACATTGTTTCTGCTTATTATATTTTATTCACATAGGTTTCATTATTAGACTATATAAACTAGTAATTTTTATTACACTTTTTACTAATACGCTTCTAAAACAATGAAAAGTTAAAAAATTAATTTATGTGTTAAAGTATCGTAATTATTTTTTACTTTTTACTATTTATTATATTAAACATTAAATATTACATGATATTTCTCTAACAATTGGACAAGATTCTCCTCTTGATGCTTGTATTTTTTTGTTTGTTTATCAAATTAATTCTTTGTTTTGTTTACGGACATTATTCTAGCTTATTATAATTCATTATACATATAGGTTACATTACTAAACTACATAACCTTGTAATCTTAATTACACTTTTTATCAGCTCATTACTAAAGCAATGTAAAATTAAAAAATTACGTTTGAAAGTACTATAATTAATCTTCAATTTTCACTATTTATTATATTAAACATACATATTATTTCTCGCATATCATCGCATATTATTTCTCTATCAATAGGAAAAGATCTTATTCTCGATGAGAAAATGTTTTAGCGTTTATATTTTATGTTTATTGATTAAATAAAATTTGTTGTTATTGAAAAGACATTGCTCTTGCTAACTATATCTAATTATACATCATTGCTACTAATACTAATTACTACATCATACTAATTATACACGCTAACTATATCTAATTATACATCTAATCATGCATCATTATTAGACTACATAACCTAGTAATTCTCATTACACTTTTTATCAATTCGTCACTTAAACTATGAAATATTAAAAAATAAACTAACGTGTCAAAGTAGTATAATAATTTTTATCTCATAATGTCATTTGGTGGTTGTTAAATTGTGTATTATGATAACGATTCTTCTCACAGTATGAAAACACAATAAAGAAGGCATTGGACACCAACTGATTCATATTACAGGCGCCGTTGGTTGCCTATTTTTTCCCAGTGGAAACATACATTTTGACTCCCTGTTCATCCATGGGGAAATATTTATTAGATGTGGCAAACTTCTTTGCCACTGAGGAAAATATTCAGCGTTTTACGGTCATTAAACAGCTGTACTAAAACTTGAATAAATTGATGAAAATTCATTTTTATACTTATATTTAATAATAATAATAACATACATAAATTCAGATTTTTTATTTATTTATTTTTTTTTAATTNAGTAAGTAAACAAGTTGTTCTTTAGGATGCCGTTGCATCGGAAATACTTTTAAAACAGGTTTTGACCTTTTACTTTTGACAGCAGAATCATCTGCTACGGAAGCTTTTTTTTAACAACATACATTATGTCTTGAAAGATTTCTCACACTTGCAGGTTAGTTTGCCATCATACATAAATAAACTGCTAGATTGCCACACGGAGAAAAAAATTGTGATAAAATTACCATACTGTATGGTAACATTTATGTTAAAAGAAAAAACCGGAATTTTGGTAAAAAACCAGAAACATATCATATTTAAACCATTTATTCGGCATTTTTCATTACATATGGTAACGGTTTAACATAAGTTCTGGTTTTCAAAATCATAGTTCTTATTACCATGCATTTAGGGGAAAATATAAAACTGATACCGGATAAATGGTCTTTAACAGAATAATTAGTTTTTATGCTATGCTCTAAGGTATCATTTTAAAATTACCACATTTTTTGCCCTAATAACTAAATTTGTATAATATTTTATTGTTAATTAAACAAAAATCATAACCAATTGCTTCGGTAAAAATTACAGATATTTTTGATGTTTTCATAGAGCCAGAAGCACGATAAGTGTAACCATTTTCTGGGATTTTTGACCGAATTTTTTTTTACTCAATGTATTAAATTAAGTATACTTTAAATGGCTCTTTACAAAAGTACTATAAGAAAATTTTTTATAATTTTAGTTACATACTTATTTGATCTCAGCTGCTACTAAAAATAAATTGTCCTCTAAATTTTAAATTCATATTCCCGATATTTCATAAAATATAATTAAAATCAAGTTTCTTTCTTTGTTAGGCATGCACATAATTTAAAAAAAAAATGGCATGCAAAAAATGAAAAAACAAATAAAATAAAAGTTTTCGTGGCCTGTCTATTTTTACATATTTTGCAGGAAGATCATCCCATCTTAATATAGTTAATAGTTAAAATGAGGAGATTTTTCTTGTAATTTTTTTGTCTGTTTGAATTTATTGGAATTGTTGGACAAAACACTTTCCTATCATAATAATTAGTAAATTAACAAAACCATAATTAAAATGAATAGATTTATTTTGGAATTTTGTTGTCTGTAGGAATTTGTTGGTATGATCTCTAATTTGATCAATTATCAGGTTTTTATACATATTTATCATGATAGAGAGGTAGAAAATCTTAAAAAAAGTGTAGTGGAAAATTTTATGCTTTAGCTAACTTAAATTTAACAATACTTAAATTTTAAGAAGTCATTAAAGGAAGAATTTAAACCTAAGTTACAACATGCTTTCCAATATAATTATTTTAGGTCAAAAACTTAAATGAATGTGGATATTTTGTTATCAATTTATTTCCTCATGCTTCAATATTGAATTAGACTTTGTTCATCAATCTAGATTAGTTAATCAATCTAGCGAAAAAGGATAAATGCGAATTGGACAACGGTTGGGCCAGTAACTATTCCTTTTTTGAACTACACTGTTAAAATTTCCATTCTAAAATTATGGTAAAATAACTGGCAGCTATTTGTCCATCCGATTAACAGTAAAGTTTAAGGTAAAGAAAATTTTTTCCATTATGGTTTTGAAATCATTTACGAAAAGTATGGTTATAAGACCACGAATACAAAAGATATCTTGTTTCTGCAAAATAAATCCGAATTTTGCAGAATAAAGTTTATTTTTTAAAAAAAATTGAGTCCTTTTTTTCTTTTCCGTCCTTTTAAGCGGATGCTATAACAAATGTATTAATTATGTAAATTAGAGTCGGGTGTAATAAGTACAATTTTTGAAACAAAATTAAATTCAAATGGGCTCATAGCATCAAGTCTTATAATTTACTACAATATTTTTATAAGTAAAGCAATTTTTCTTTTTTAAGAAAATAACAAGTACTACCAGTATTATATATCTTTTCTATAACAGTTTTGATGGAATACAATTATTAAATCTTTTTAATAAATATTTTTTTGAAATTGTAAGAGATATTATACATATTTTCTATTTATAAAATTTCGTAAATAAAATATACCTTTAAATCAATTCGTTCTCTTCTTTTTTCTTGAATTCAATAAATAGCTTTTCTATGTGTATCTAAAACAAAACAAAAAAATATACACAATTATTACATTATAAGTAAATTTTTAATCTAATCAATACTCGCTTTCAATGAATCTTCATTGTTAAAAATTAATATAATTATGATCATGACAAATAACTCATGGAGTGTTCTATAATGATTTATTTATTTTTATAGAATCCTTATCAAAAATGAAGTCAGAAAAGAAAACACATTTAAAGGTACAAAATTATAAGGCAATAAATAAAAAATATTATCTAAATCTTAGAAACTAATATCGAAGATGAAAACCACAAAACTGCCACAACCAATATCAAATTTGAAAACCACAAAACTCTAGTCCTTCGGGCAATCAAACAAGTTTAATTCCAGCCTTTTTTTGTATAATTCGTTAGATTTTTTTTGTATAAAAATTAATTCAACACCTTTAATGTGCATATTTTTCTATTTCATGATTGATAAGGATTCTAAAACTAAATATTTAGTGTGATTATTACGAAGCACTTGGTATCACAATTCATAATATTAAAAGCATCCTTTTAATTTTAGCATAGTTTTTTAAATGTTTTTTGTTATCTAACTTGGTGGAGAATTTTATGCCTGTGTATGAGAAAATTTTAAATTAATTTGGTGTTTGAATAAAATAATATTTTTTACTTTTATACTTGTCTAAATATTTGAACATGAGTTGGCTTCGACAAACATATTCCAATTTCAAAATACTTTAAATTTATCTAATATGTTTTTTAAAAAAATATTTACTAGCAGAATTGTGTACAAATAATTAATTTATTTTAATTGTAAGACTAAAACGATAAAAAGTATTATCATTACGTAAAAGCTTTTAAAAATATCATTGCAATTAAAGAAATAATGGCGACTAAAAACACTTTTAGCACTTTATTTTCTAGTGAAAAAATTTCATTAATAAAACAAAAAATAATGCTGACAAAAATGTTCAATTTTCTTCTTATGATCAATGCTGCTATTATGTTCTGTTTCTATGTTTTTATCCATTAGGAACAATTAATGAAAAATATTCGAGTGTAATTAAAGATAATCCCGCCGCCACTGAAAAGCATCATTAGAACATTTAAATCTTGTGAAAATCAAATGATCCCTAGTAGGGCACCTTAATAGTACCCCATTTCGTCTCTCATTTTACCATCTTTAAGAGGGTTAAAAAGTAAAAAAAGCAGCCAAAAACGCCAAATAAAAGCTAAGCACCCATTGGACGATCTGATTACAACCATCATTCCGGAGGCTTTAAACATAGAAGTAGCGGTAACTATCTACTAGAGAAAAGGTTTGCTAATTATATTCATCCGAAAATATTTGCTGCTACTTAATTTTGTCAGGACCATTACGCCTAATTTCGCTGACCATAATACTCAGCATTCTTATGAGATCATTTTGTAATGGCCATTTTCTAAAGAAGTTTACTCGAAGTTAGTTTCATGCTCTCCCTTATGAGCTTGGCTCTGAGTTTTCTTTTGAGGTTAGAAAAGCTTTACTCTAATTAAAACTTCACGCTGGCTGTGGAAGTAAATTGATATACCTTCTTTCTATGAAGCCTACAAAAGAAAACGTCTAATGAACTGCGGCTAAAGTTTCACTATTTTTTCTCACATAAAAAACTATTTGAAATATTAGGTCTGTTTATCAAAACATTTCGGTGTGTTTTTGAAATATATTTATAATGCTACGTAATTAATTGCCTTACTTTGAAAAGAAACTGATGAATAATATTAAGATTTTGACAAAATTAATATTACTCTATAAAGGTCTTGTAATGATACCATTACTTATAAAAATTAATTTTGCAAAGTTCAATTATTAATTTATAGCATATGCATTGCTCACATAACTGTCTTTTAACTGCGAATTTTACTATGCATTATGAAAACTGATTGTATTAAAATACATTATACATATATAAACATTGCTTGTATTACGATACATTATAAAAAATTCTGGATTGAATTATGGTAAAAAGTACCGGCACTCAGGACTCCGGTACTATTTATTATAAAATCCATTTTTACCGGAACATGTTTCGGAACAAATTATCTGATATACCGTAATTTTTATAGAAATAATACCTGCAATATCATTGAATTACTCGAATTAAATATATATTACTGTAAAGATTACGGTATAATATTTTGCATTAAAAATGGATTTTACGGTAAAAGGGATTTTATGGATGATGCACCCAAAGTACTTTCTACCATAATTTGATTCGGAATTTTTTACAGTGTAGTAACTATAATTAAATCTCATATTAATAATAAATGAATTTAAATTAATTCTCTAATACTTTAAATTAATTTTAGGAAATACTTTGTTCCCCAAATCTTCCCAGACTTGAAGTCATATGAGAAAATGAAGTGTAGAGTGTTTAGTTCTGAATTATATAATAGTAAAATATACTCTATATATGAAGAAATATGGGCTAGAATTTCCCCTGCCTTTGAATTATCCGTGAGAAGTCTAAACTAATACGGGTTAGCTCCATCAAAAAGTCTGCATGAAGGTAAAAAAGTCTGCACGAAGGTAAGTCCTAATGCTTAACCCAGAAGTTTAGTTGTCTTCTGGGTAGGGATCAAAATTACCTCGATTTTTGATCGAGAATTGATACCATAAATCCGAAAAAAAGGTTTGGAAAAGGAAAAAAAAGGATAAATTTTTTAATAACAAATATTAAAAATTAAGGTTATGCCTGACTGTTTTTAGTTCATTTTCAGCGTCATTTTGGAAAAATTCTTAAAATCATGATTACGTAATTGAAATTTTTTCATTGTTAAATTATTAAAATCTTTAGTATGGTATAAAACTAATAACCTTTGCAAAAAAGTTTTTTTTTTTCGAATGGCAGGCACTGAATTTTATTCGTTTCGCCTTAGAAGATGCCAGAGGTGTTACTCATTTCGCGTTACCCAGTGGGCACCTGTGAACCAAAGTCACGGAAGCGAGTAACATTGCCCACCCCACACTGCTACAAACCCGTTCATACGGTGAGCCACATTCATTCATCACACACAACAGAGGACAACAAAAGAGAAAGAAATATCCATGCCCAGAGCGGGATTCGAGCCCGCTGCCATTCGCTTCGCAGACAGGAGCGCTAACCGCTCGGCCGCCTGGCCGACTCTTTTGTAAAATAAAACATATAAAACTGCAAATGAAATTATAAAATACAATTTAAGTTTGTATTACATTAATACATTGATTTATATACAATACAACAACATCTTAAGACGCAGCGCATTTCTTTTTTATATTAGCTGTTCCCGTCAGCATTAAAACAGCTCTGAATGTTTTTTAATTTCAAAGGATTCCAATTTTCTCTAAACATTTCTTTCTTTCAATCCAATGAAAAAGATATAGCCAAAAAATTATATTTTTCTCCCACCTGTTTTAAACTAAACTCTGAAAGGAATAAATAAATTGAGGCTCATTGGAGCTTTCTTTTATAAGATAACATCACAACAGTAGCAAATCCAGGGTGGAAAAAAAAAGTGAGATATAGTTTCTTTTATATCTAAAGAAATACCTTCAAAGGTCAACTTTTGAGAGGTTGGGTTTGACCTGAAAAATATATTTTTGTTCACTTTGGTCTTTTAAAAACCTTAATCCAGGGGTGACGTTTATCTCTGAAACGTCACGCTTGTAGTAGGAAGGTTGTAAATTGACAGGATTTGAAAGGAATAAATGAGTCCAAGATAAAGGTAAGGATGAAATATTTTTGTTTTTAGGTGGTGATTAAAGACGAAATTACGTGGCAAAGAGAATGAAAGTAGCTGTAAATTTGGAAGAAGAATAACTTAGAATAAGTTCATGGGATAAGAATAACTTTATCCAGGAGCGCAGAATGTAAATGCTTGCTGCGCTTTTTCTGCAGGTAAACTTATAAAATATTTTAAAAGTACTTTTTTTTTATCATTTGACTTTTTGAGCGGATGAAAAAGTAAAACCAAACGTAATATTGTCTTTAACGTGTACCCTTTAAGTAAGAGACAATGAAATAATATGTTAATTAAAAATTCGGGAATGTTATTGCTACAACAATTGGTTATTATTTCAAAGGTAATTATTTTAGTAGGAAATTATATCTAAATAAGCGTGAGTGATATTTGATGTATCAGATTTTTAAAAAAAAAGATTTCTTAAAGGAGTTTATTACAGTTTTGCAACTATAAAAAAACAAATCTTTAATTAATATGAACAATTTTTGTGTTGGTAAATTATTTGTATCGCAACTTGAGGCTTGCGGACACGTTTCATGCCTTGAATCTACTGCAAATTGTATGTTATCCCCTCAATATTTATACTAATTACAAGTAACGAGAGTTACTGCTTCAATGTTTCATTCACTTGTCAACTTAAGTAATATTTCTCTCAAACCAACATATTCGATTCAAATGATACCATTAAGTTTTGATTAATTACAAATTTTACTTTAAGTACATTAGTTACATTAAGTCAAATATACATTAAGTACTTAGAAAAGTATTATTTCGAAGTAAATATTTTAAAACAAATATTGCTGAAAGATTTAATGTTCTTAACTCTCATCATTTTCTTGCAAAAAGTTATTATTATTATTTTGAATTAAATTTGTATAATGCAAATAAGATAGCACAAGAAAAAAATAAAATAAATATAAAGTCATCTATGATTGAGAGAGGCTGAGAGAAAATGTATGCTACGCTTTCGGAAACGCCAAGTTGAGGAATTTTCAACGTCTCTCTCTTACTTTCTTATCAGATTGTTAAAGCGCCATCTAGGATTCATCTCGAAAACTATTCAAACATTTTCCAAATGTAATATAAAGTATACTAATAAAATACATATTATAGCACAAATAAAAAATAGGTATTTTTAAAACAGATAATAATATCTATTTCTATATCTATTTCTTATAATACCTAAACTAATACCTATTTCTTACAGTATAAAAATTGGTTAACAATTAAAGCAAATAAGAAATAGATAGATTTGTTATTATTTT